TTACCTTCATATATAATGTATACATTGCATATACAAAGGTTATGGCAATAGCCAATGCAAGTAAACCATAAGGAGGGTCGCGATTCACTAAAATACAAAAATTGAATAATGATGTGATGATGATAATCAGGGCATGAGAAGAAGAAGAAGAAAAAAGTTATGCAACGATGTGACATCGCAGCCCGTACTGATTAACTGACTTAAATCATTAGTTGTTTGTATTCTTGCTGGGAAATTTAAGATGAACTGAAAGCTGTACTAAGGACGATTTACCTTCAATGGGTTTCGGAATTATCTTCGCTGTTGAAAAAAAAAAAATTATATATATGTATCATAATAGTTTGATATTTTGATGGAGCAATAGCACCTAAATTGATTCCAATTGAGGTTCTTAGGAAAATGATAAAGTATCATGATTATTATTTAATTGCCTTACGCGGAACTTCTTTTTGTTCACAGTGCTATCCATCGCTATCCACGGAATGCGATGGTTCCCATTTGTACAATGGGTTAGTTAATTCATTACGTCCTTCATTTTTGTTTATCAGATAAAGATAATGTCTTTTTTAACAATAGTGGGATATTTAATTATGAATGAAATGCATATTTGTTTAATTTACCTATCGGTCCATTAGCTGTAATCGCCTTTGATTTTGTCTGTTCGGTAGTTCCAGACGGTGTCGTGGGCGACGATGTCTCTGCAAAACAATAAATATTACGCTTGACTATACAAATTTAATTAAATGTATGAAATTTTTTACATTTTTATTGCATCGAGTCATTTGAAGACGATTAGCCATTAACAACTTCTCAAAAACAAAATCTCGTTTCGATGGCCCCGGTGTAACCTTAAGTTGCTCCTTACTATAATGATATAACTTTTTTTGTTCTTGTGTGTGTGTGAGTTCTTGTGTGTGTCATAGTACGTTCGTGCTTCGTTGCACGCGTATAGACAGGGAGACTATAGTATCATCTACTTGAGAATTAAGGACAAAAATTCATCCAGTTGTGTGTTTAAATCTAGTCTAGCATGAAAC